GTTGCACTTTCGACTTCTGTTTTTCACATAATTTTCAGATTGTTCGCACTAAGTACTTGACTTCTTCCTACTTGCACTTTTAACTAAACTGCTCCTTCCCTAAAATTCAGCATTTTTTTTATCTTTTGTGCTCCTTATTTGTAATAGTTTTCTCGTATTTGCAATGCTTGCTTGTTTACTTGTTTGTTTGCATTCAAAGTCACAATTGTAGCATGGCCGGGAACCACACTAGTGGATCTTGAGGGGTGCCTAACACCTTCCCCTCGAGATAATTTCTAGACTTTACCCAAACTCTGGTTCTTCATCTCAAATTCTTCCTTAAAGTGTCCTAATGCACTATAATCATTAGGTGGCGACTCTTCAAACTAAAAAACCCAATTCTCGCAAGGGAATAGAGTTGTCCTCCCGAATATCGTATACCCGATTCCGAACTCCGTTTTGGAAGAAAAAGGGGGCGTCGACAACTGGTAAAGTTGAAATAGAGCCGAAGAATTCATACCTGAGGTGTGGAGGTAATGGCTTCAACTCCAACACCGGGGGTTCCTCAATTGAAGGCTTTGTTGGAGGCGTCTTTCTATTTTCAAGATCCAAAGAAAGTTTCCTAGGCTCGTAAGAATAAGAGCCCATTCCATGTAAAGCATTCACACACTCCACTCGGCCCGCATCATCATTGACATCCAAATTCAACAATACGGCCTCCAAAGGGTCCTTAACATTGATCATTGCACTGGTATCATCAATTATCACAGCCGTGACTAAATCCACAAATGAGCACACTTCGGTACAATTGGGCTGCTTCATTGACTAGCACACATGAAAGACTACCTTTTCATCACCCACCCTGAAGGTGAGTTCCCCTGCTTCCACATCCACTAAAGCCTTCCCCGTAGCAAAGAAAGGTCTCTCTAATATGATCGGGGCCTCATAATCTACCTCACAATCCAAGATCACAAAATCAGCTGGCAAGATGAATTTGTCCACCCGGATGAGCACATCATCAACAATACCCAATGGTCGCTTCATAGATCGTTCTTCCATATACAGTCGCATGGAAGTTGGCCTCGAAAGCCCAATACCCAAAGTCTTGAAAACTGAATAGGGCATCAAATTGATACTAGCCCCTAGGTCACACAAAGCTTTAGCAAAGTCTGCGCTCCCAATAGTGCAAGGGATTGTGAAAGCACCGGGATCCTCTAATTTCGGAGCCTTTGAATGGACTATAACACTAACTTGGTGGGTCATCTTGATAGTTTCACAGTCCATTGATTTTTTTTTGTAATCAAATCTTTCATGAATTAGCATAGCCAGGCATCTGCTCCAAAGCTTCTACCAAAGGAACATTAATGGATAGGCTCTTCATCATGTCTATGAACTTTTTGAACTGATTCTCATTTTTCTTCTTGGCTAGCCTCTGAGGATAAGGGGGAG